TAATTTTTTAATATATATTTGAGAAATTAATCAATTATAATCTATTATTTGAAAAACTAATCAATTATTTAAAAAACTAATCGATTATAATTAATTATTTGAAAAAATTATCGAATATAATCGATTATAATGAATTATTTAAAAATATAATCGATTATTTGAAAATTTAATCGATCATAAAGCGTTGGACATTTATATATGATAACTGGTTAACATTTTAACCGCTCTTAAAAGTGCGAGATATAATAGCTAGCTCCACGTTAACCGCTTTTAAAATGTAAGATATAATAGTGGTTTCACGTTCACCGCTCTGAAAAGTGAAGATATAATAGCGGTTACATGTTAACCGCTATCTAAAATATATGTGTAATATCGGTTAAATCTAGAACCGCTATCTTAACTCAATTATTTGAAAATATAATCGATTATTGGACAATTTAATCGATCATAACGGAATAATTACTTCATTTGTACAAAGAATAGTCTGAAGCACATGTTACCTTTCTTATCATAATAACAATTTACTTTTGTACTCTACTCTTCCTTCCTCTCCGATTACCTTCCACACTCACCCCCGTGTGCCGCTGCCGGAAGCGATTTCCGGCAGCCACCTCCATTTTTAATGGTTCAGGAAAAAGAATTAATCACACAACAAATACATCATTTAGGTTATGTTTGGTTGGAGTGATTTGAGAGAGTGGAAATGAGAGTGTGGAAATGGAGGAATTTGAAGAAAAATGGAGATGAAATTAAAGTTGTTTGGATGAATGGAAAGTGAAAGAAAAATTTATGGAAAATTGTGAGTGATTTGATTGATATGAGATATAAAAGTTATAATTTTAATTGATTATTTAAGAAAATTACTATTTTACCCTTGTGTATAAAATAAGGTTAAAATTATTATAAATATAATTTTTTAATTAATTATCCATATTTTAACATTGATTATATATTTAAAAGAAAAAACAAATTTAAAAGTGTTTGTAAGTGGAAACAAATTTAAAAAATTAATTTTTTTTAAATAGTTATTAAAAATATATAAATAAATAATTACAAAATTATTTACATTGCATATCCATAAAAAAATAATTTTGACATAAATAAATTATTTGACTAATAATTAAATAATTATAAAATATAAAATAATAATTAATATTGACTAATAATAACAAATAATTATGAAAACTAATAATATAATTGTAAATTATTATTTTAAATAAATATAAAATATAGTGAAAATAAAATAATAACTAAATGAAAATTTCATGTAAACTTAATAGTAAAAATATTTTATTTCCAACTTTGCATCATTTGTCATTACAAGCTTATCATGACACTTATGGCAAATGTACTATCTACTTTTTTGGGTCGATTGCAGGCACCACCGTGCGCATTCTTCTCGATGGTGGCAGTTCTGACAACTTCATTCAGATGGAGAAGATTCCGAAAAGGAAATCTCAATCCAATCGCTGGGTGAATAACGAGTGAAGAGCTCCTGAATGAATCTTAAAGTATTTTGAGATCTTTATAGCAGATCATTCAATCACTTCCACCCAAGAACATGAACAACTGGGAGAGACGAAGATGTGAGGGCAAGCCAAAAAGTCGTCTAACATGTGATTCGTGAGTACACAAATGATTATAACACTGAAGCATAAGTTGCTCGTCATTTAGGTTCATGCCGACTAACATGTCCCATATATCTGACTCGGAATGTTGAAATGTTGCTGATCGTCTCATCACATTAACTTGCTCATTAATTAAATCATTTCTGCGTTCAATGGCGACCACCTGTCTTTCAGCTATGTCAGATAATCATTGGGTCAATGTATTACCTTGGCCAAGGTAATCTGTAAATGTGTCCAGCCTCGTTGTTAGTTTGTCAAATTGACCTTCCATCACATCAACCATAGGCGTTTTTCTTTTTGTGCCCCGAGATGAAGAGGTTCCACCTGAACCAGTAGACGCAACAGATGGCAATGACTGAGCACCCTCAGCAGGACTATCGGAACCCATGCGTGGAGGTGATCGATAAGTTGTATCAAATCCATCAAAGCCAAAGTGAAATGGCTGCTCCTCTGGTGTGGGGTCCACATCAACGTTCAAGTCTATTGTTGCCCTTCGAGAACTGATATTCACTCGGGACTGACGCGAAGTTCTTGCCATATGTCCAGTGGCTCGATCAGCACCCCACAATTCTTCCATCAAATCATAATACTTTACAGTTGACAGTTTCCATTTAGCTGCAGAAGGTTTCGCCTACAAATTAATGAAAATGGTTAACACTCGTAATTGTTATGTTTTGCTATATCAACAAATGATAATTCATATAATAGTACCTTGATTAGGTCATCCCATACTTCTTGCTCAGCCATAAACTGTTTTGTGATATCATCCCAAGCGAATCCACTAAGTCCATGAAACAAATCGTGGACCTCCCGCCATCTATCCTTAAGACTTTTTTATCGATTTTTAACATTATTTTTAGTTATACCAATTAATCCAGACTGTCTTAGGGATTCAACTATATTATTATATGCTTGGGTTGTCCAACTACCATCAACCCGATTACCCAACCTTGCCTCATGAAGCATAGCGATCAACAACCGAAAGTCCATGTCATCGATCCATTTTGTAAACTCGCGCACTACAGTTGACGAATTCGATGCAATATCCTTTCCTCTCGTTCATTTTAAACCTATTGGAAAGATAATATATGTAATTACGATACCAACATATAATTATTATAAATAGATAATCGTAATGTAATCGTATTTCAACAATAACAATAGTACATCTCATTAAATATATTGTTACATACAAAATCTAATGACTTTGATAATCTATCCACATTTGATTTGCTATAAGTATCTCTTAAGTTTGACCCTTCCCTATAATCCTCTTCCCGAACTTGAGTCGACATATTATCCACATCTTGTTCCATCAACTCTCGATCCACTTCAGCTAACAGTGATTCATCGTTGTCTATTCCTCGAAGAAAATTGTGTAGAATGCAACATGCTAGGACTATATCCGTCATTGTATCAAATGAATAATGAGGCTCTGTTCCACTAGTTATTATGGGAAATCTTTTCTTCAAAACTCCAAATGTTCTTTCAATTACATTTCTAAGAGACGAATGTCGATGGTTAAACAATTCTCGGGGGTTTTGTGGAGCTCGTCGAGAATACTCTTTAAGGTGGTATCTAATGCCTCGATAAGGGGTCATTATGTTTGCTTTTAACATAAATCCAGCATCCCCCAAGTAGTATTTACCTATTTAAAATCATTGAAGTTATACTAATTAGAATATTTAAACTAGTTGACTATACACAAAATCCCCACGTTATAAATAATAAACTTTGTGGTATGATAAGGCGATCATCTCTCGTAAGAACATCCTTTAATATTCTTGAATCAGATGCTGTTCCTTCCCACCCTGCTAGAACATATGTGAATTTCATGTTGAAATCACAAGCTGCAAATACATTTTGTGTTGGCCAATCTTTTCTTCCACGAAAACGAGGGGCATCGGATCTTGCGACTTTAACTCGAACATGAGTTCCATCTATTGCCCCTAAACAATCCTAATTGGTAAAAAAATTTATTGTCATTAAAGTTTAGATAATCTATGTGTATGTTATATAGACACAAAGTTGGTAAGTAGATTACCTTAAAGTATGGGTAAAATCGGTTGTTGTTTAATATATACGGACACACATCCCTTCCTGATGGTTGAACAATTAATTGTTCGTCCAACATTATTATCGCATTCAACACGTTATGAAAGTGTCGACTAACGGTTTCACCTGATCGATGGAAAAAAAATGAAATAGTTCGATTTTTAACGTTATGTCCGATAATATGGAGAAATTTAGCCACTTGTTCTTCCACTGTTGATTGTAACCCATCGTTTACTAATCCAGTTGTCCTTACTCGTTGACACAAGTTAATGAACGCCTCCGGTCCCATGCGAATAATGTCACGAGATTGTTCAGTATGAATAAGGTATGACATCAACTCATGCCGATGATGTTCTTTTTCAAAAATAAAGTGTAAAATATAATTTTATTTTATTTCTATAATATATATATAAATGAAAATAAGTTATAATTTGGAATATATATAAATGCAAAATTGCTTTGATATGTAGAATCAATTGAAAGTGAATATAAAAGGCACCTCTCTTCGATGTCGACAAGACGAAATCTCCTCTCCGTTCAGTATCGTGATGATGTCATGGACAAGTATGGAAATAAAAGTTGATTTTATTATCACCAAGTTTGTTGTTGTTCCTCAGTGCTATTACTAACAATTAACTATTTAAATAGGGTGGTACTTGGGTTTCTCATTTTGTGGTTCATCCTTGCTGTTCTTTTTGTTGTTTCCATCCGGATTGAAAGGCTTCTGTGGCCATAAAAGCTGGTATGGTGGAACAGGCAGAGCTAAGACCACAAGCTGTTGCAGATGACTTGAATCTTTATCAAGTCAGAGAACCGTGCTTTTAATTCAAATTTTACTTCAATTGTACAAAGAACAGAAAAATACTACTTCATTTGTACAAAGAACAGTCTGAAGTACATGTTATCTTTCTTATCATAATAACAATTTACTTTTGTACTCTATTCTTCCTTCCTCTCGGATTACCTTCCACACTCACCGCCGTGGCCCGCTGCCGGAAGCGATTTCCGGCAGCCACGTCCAATTTTAATGGTTCAGGAAAAATAATTAATCACACAACAAACACATTATTTAGAGACCCAACTTCGTAACTACACAAATTGTAAGTTCAGATTGCTGCTTATTAAATTTCAACTTAACTTCCAATAATTTTATCTAAGGTAAATATTTTATTTCATAGGCAAACAATATTTTTCCTCCCTCTCCCCGTTTATATTGATAATAGCTATTTTATTTGTCCACTTTTACTTTAATTTCTAATTGTATTAAATCATGTTATCTTTTTGGTATATGTGAAATTTATCGGAAGTCCCATAATTTCAATCATGAATATGCTGAAAAAGTTCAAGTAAATCAGGGAAATCAGCTTTATCATGTTCATCATTGTTAAATCTACAGAGCATTGTAAAATTTCTAAGCCAAATGCCTGTTCCAAAATTTAATGTTCAAGGATGGCCGTTGTCTGGTAATTAACAGCAAAAAAATAATTCCATTTGAACATGATCAGTAGACAATATATGGATTCCATGTCAAGACCCCTAAATTTTAGTGAAACTTCATCACTCCAATGATACATGTGTTGGTACACAGTACCAAACGTGGCTGATATTTTCTTGAATACCTTATAAAATCTCAACAGATTCTCAGAAGTGTATTAGACTAGGATTTCAAAGAATTTTAAAAGATTTTTCTATAAAACTTTCCCTTTTTTCATTAGTTTCATGAGGGATTTTTTTTTATCAAGAACCAATTAAACGCTGATTGAGAAACATCTATTGAAGAAATCCTAAAAATAAGTAGAAGAACAGTATAACAACAACAAAGGGGAAAACTACAAGCCTTTAACAAAGAAAATAATTTAATTTCGAGGAGCACTAGCAATATACTCTTAAAATTTATTGAAAACTGCCAAAAAAATAAGGATCATTAAATATAAAGCCACGCCCACAATTTTTTATAATTTCACAATTTTTTATAATTTCAAGTCAATTTCAGCTAACAAGAATGTGCCACTAGCATTTTCATTAAATAAACTGAGTCAGCAGAATCCAAATTCTGAAGATAAATGAATGCCACAAGATTGTTATACCTTTTGGCTTTAGAGGATAACTGATGAGTTTCAGAGATAAGCCCAAGGGCCTCCACAGTATAAACATAAGTAGCCCAGACAACATACAGCAGAAAGAGGACAATCCCAATGAGCTCTGCGGCAGAAACAACCCCAAATGGTCCTTTGATAAGCACAGGAAATGTCCATAGGCGGATACTTGGATATTTGGAACTCTTCTTCCTGCCATTAAAAACAAAGTACAACATATACTGTAAACCAAGGTTTTAATAGAACTGCAATTTCGACCGCATCATCAAAAGTAACTGTAACTGCAATTGCAATCTCATTGTTCCACAATTTTCCAAAATAACAATGATTGTGACAAAACTCTGACCGCATTTATGGTGATGATGAAATTCATTACAAAGATAGAAACGTTTCAGTAAATCACACACCCTTGAAGCTGATCCTCCCCAGTAAGATTTAGGTGTGCAATGGCAAGAAATGCAATTATGAGCAATGGGGCAGTGAAGACCACAAAAATGCTTCGTGCAAAACACAACACACTGTTGGCTTTGAACTCACGCCACACACAAGGTGAAAACAAGAAGAAAGAAAGAAAGATAAACGAACCTGTGAATCACGGTTGAGATTAGTCCATTTTGAAAACAAGCCCTTCACAGGCTTTGCAGGTTGAAAAAAAATTAAGTTGTCCACAAAACAAAGATCAGGCAGATTAAAGACTTGAGAGTCCATTTAGTAGCTGACACAAGAGAAGATGATGCTGTCTTGCTTGCATTTTCATCACCACGAGGAGTAAGCAAAGGACTATAATCAACAGTGTTTTTCTCCATGGACACAAATTTTTGTGAAACCCATGTACGGATCAACTTAGAGCCACCAAAATGAATTTTTCAACCGAGGATGGATAATAGAACACAGTTTAGTGCATGAGTGTACATCATTGAGCTGGAACATATGTGGTGAGTAGAATTACACCTGCTACTTCTACAAGAAGGTTGTGTTAGAAAAGTAGTTTTAGATCAAGAGCGGGGTGAATTGATCTTTAAAAGTTTTTCGCAAATAACAGATTATCTAATTCGAAAATTAAGTTTAAAGATCTGTTCTTGAATTACAAAGCAATCAATCAAAATAATGCAGCAACAGAATTTAAATGAGAGAAAGGTTAAGGAAGATATCACCAGTATTTTATACTTGGTTCACCCAATACCAGGGCTACGTCCAGTCTCAAGCTAAATTCCAATTGGGTTCCACTAGATTAAATGTTTTACAGATTCAACAATCTTACACCTAATCTATCACAAGAACCAAATTCCAGTTCCTCGCACTCAACCTCTCACCAAGAACCAAATTCCAGTTCTTGATAACCTCTACAACTAAATTCTAGCTGCAGAGAAACCAGTGCCCAAATTCCAGGCACCAACACCTAACCTTTCACCAAGAACCAAATTCCAGTTTTTGACAACCTCTACAACCAAATTCCAGCTGCAGAGAAACAAGTGCCCAAATTCCAGGCACCAAACAATACAAACGAATGAAAAAGAATTGACAAAGAAGAAACTAGAAAGCTCAAACCAGTTTATCCAAATCTGCAGTGAGTTTCTTCTTCAAAGAAAAGCAATATGCCTCAAGAAAGATTTAAAAAGAACTTCAAAAAAAACAGCCGCAAATCTTTCTTGAAAAGAGTGCTCAAGTTGCTTGATTGATTGCTTAAGGATATATGAAAACTGATGTTCAATGTATGTTTAAAAAGTTCAAGCCAAACTGTTTTTAAAGAGTATTTTCAAAACTGCTGCATTAATTAATCTGTTAAAAGTTTGTTTTAATATGTTGAAATAGTCATTTCAATCTGTTAAAAGTCCTTTCAATCCATTAATACGTTCTTGATTCTTTAACAGATTTGTTTTAGCTGATACAACAACGTTTATATCAGTTAAATCACTTTACAAAAAATCTTCTAAGTTAATTCAATCGATTCTTTCGCGTTTTAATCGATTGAAATACTGCAAACTTTCTTATAAAACTTTTCAAGTTATTTTAACTGATAAACCATAGGTTTTAATCGATTAAAACTCTGTACAAAATTTTTCCAAGTTGTTTTAATCGGTTGAAATGCGTTTTAATCGATTGAAACATATCTGATCGGTCATAATTCAATTCTGATCGATCATAACCAACTCTGATCGGTCATAACTGCATTCTGATCGATCATTCTGACCCTTTAAGTGATTTTAATCGATTGAAACGTGTTCTAATCGATTGAAAAATTCTGATCGCTCATAATTCAAATATGATCGATCACATCTGATTCTGATCGGTCATATTTGTATTCTGATCGATCATAATGAGTTCTAAATGGTTTTAATCGATTAAAATCAAGTTTTATCGATTAAAATACTGTAAAAACACTTCTTTGAACATTCTAAGTGATTTTAATCGGTTCTTTCAAAACTATATCAGTTAAAAACATGTTTAAGAAAGCTTTTGTAAAAATACTTTGTTTTTAGTTGTTTAAAACGATTTTAGAGGCATTTCGCAAAATCTTTAAGTGAAGAACCTTCATGCAGCAGAAAAGATAAAATGATTTTACCTAAGCATTCTGTAGGCACACTAATCCTTCTACTCTTTTATCTAAGTGACTTGTTGACCGCTGCAAAGATGACTTTTGACTTTATCTTTGACTTCATCAAATCAATGAGATCTTTGCCAAATTATTTCAATAAGATCTTCATCACTTTCAGTCTCCCCCTATTTGATGAAGACAAACACCATTTTGAAAAAAAAACTCTGCAAGAAAAGTCACTTGAAAATACAGATTAGTGAGAAATTAAAAAATGTATTAATGTCATATTTCTCCCCCTAAAACCTATTTCTCCTCTCTAAAATGTTGCTCCCCTTAAATTAAGAGTTGTTTAAATTGATCCTAAGCAACTATTTCTCCCCCTTTTGACTTCATCAAAAATAGGGAACAGAAGAGAAATAATGAAATGCAAAGGTATTTATCAGTTTGAGTTTTTGAAAATAAAAGGAAATCAATACTTTACTCATGTAAAGATCAATCAAAGTTGATTCAAACTTATCTTCATTAACACGTTTGTAATGAATACAATTAACACGTGTAAAGATAAGGGAATCACGCTTTAGTAGCATGTTACAGAACAGACCATTAACTAAAGCCTTTAATTTTTCTTTCCGAATAAAAATCGATTAAAAACAGGACGAGAATCGATTAAAATGTTTTTGGTAATGATTTTAATCGATTGAAAGAAAGGTTTAATCGATTAAAACATTTAAGAATTTGAAGACATGAAACTTTAGTGCAATTAATCGATTATTTCGACTTTTAATCGATTAAAACATTAATGAAAAATGTTATATAAATTCATTTAATCGATTTAAAAGATGTTTTTATTGATTAAAACATTCAGATTTGAAAACTATGACATTTCTATCTATGTTAGTTTTATCCAAATTAAAACCTATATTATATCAGTCAAAGTTAAAGCAAATGTGCCTGGTATATAACCAGTAATATTACAAACCCAGAAAAATAAGCATAAAAAAGCAATAAGATATAAGAGATAAGGTAAGAAGGGACCCTTTTTATCCATACTTCCCTGATTATTTGTGTCAGATATCAAAATTCATGACTCAGTCATTTGATCCCTACCAACTTTAAAAGGCCATAGGCTTCACTTTTTGCTGAAACCAATTTTGTTTTATCAATCATTGAGACACCAACAGCTGTTTTTCCTATTATGAACCCTGCAGTTATCACCATCCAAGCAAATAACTACATTTTCAATGTAGTATGAAGGAAAATGATAGCGTGTTATTCTTCCCTTCAAATGGATCAGTCATCATCATCTCTGAGGAATGAATTTTCTTCAACTTTGTTGTTTCCAGTGGTATCATATACTGGAACACATGCATACAAAACAGAACTAGTGATGACAGCAATCCAGGACTTCCCGGTCAATAACCATATCCATACTTATTTCATACATCACTATTATCATGGGCATCAAAAAGCATGTATTCGTCACGAAATTTGCCTTCATTGAGGGAAGACAGTTATGTTGGTTCCAAACATCTGAAATTCCTTTAGAATCACTGAAAGATCCTCTTGTTGGTTTGTTGTTAAGGATGTCAGATTATCAGTATAAAATTGATCCCTCGTATCGACCATAAAACACACATTCCCTGTGGCACTTTTAGCTTTTCATTTAATTCTTGAATTGTCTGTCTCAGATTGGTTTCATACAGTGACACCTCGTGACTTTGATGATTAAAACGAATTATCAAAGTTGCACAATTCCAATGAATTTCACTAAGAGTCTTGAACTAATGCATGCCCAAAATTATTCCAAATATATTGCTAGGTAATATCCAGAATTCTAATGTAAACGTGTGCCCAAGTTATCTGTTCATACTTCCTAGTAATCAACAACTTATTATCGAAGCAAATATTACTCGAAATAACCTTGATAAACTATGTTTTTAGTCCTAACAACTTGACCCATTTGTAACTAGTGTCCATAAGAAAAAGTTACGAGTCTACTTCTTGATAATTCCTTTGATTTGCAATGTATTACCACGCAGCATTCCATGTAAAGTATTAAGAGAAATGTAGACATCTACAACTTGAATCATGTCTATGTTGTTGTTAAAAAAAAACTTTTTCATCCATGGATAACAGCAATAACTTTCCCACATTATTCCACTAGTCTAGTTTCTAATTCAAAGATTTGTTCAGCATTCGCTTTCCAATCATGAAAAATTTGTGCCTTTGAAAGGAAATTGTATGTTCCATAACAAACTACGAAACTCATTTATGATTATCTGACCGCTATTCATGAGACCAAATACAGAGGCACAAGTTACAGGTCAGTGGGTGTATCAGTTAATTTGTTCTTGGGAATCTGTTTGACTCGGTCAAAGAAATCTTAAAGAATTATTGCAGATTTTGATTATCATAGAACCTGAGTTTTTTATTTGAATTCGCTTACCAAACTTCAATTGGATGTTATAAAAATGATTTTCAGGAACAAATTAATTAAACAACAAATTATCCTATTAATTTGATCTTTAATATTCGTTTTGAAAATGCAATAGTAAAATGATCGATTAATACTTGAAAGAATCGATTGTTTCTGTACTGGAAGAGATTTAGAAGATGATACCAGAATTTAAATCAATTAAAACGAAAATGAATCGATTAAATTTGATACCTTAGTGATTTTAGTTGATATAAATTCATTCTAATCGATTAAAACAGCTAAACTCAAATCATGAGAACATTTTAATCGATTAATTCGATATTTCAATCGATTAAAATGGTACTGACAGATATTCTGAATCCTCCGTAAGTTATTTTAATCGATTAATATTGCTTTATATCAATTAAAACAATCAGCTTTAAGTAATCGAACCTGATTCGTAGCTCGAACTCCAAGGGATTCCCGGACTTTGTTCCTGCAAAACAAGTTAAGAATTTTTCTGGTACCCTTTATGGTTACTCGGGTCCTGATCAGGTTATTTGAAATGAATTAATTTTTGGAACCCATTTCATTCTTCCTTTAGGAATAGCATACTTTTTTATTCTACAATATTTGACCGAAGTGACCTTTCGTCATGCAAGTAGAAACATTTGATTACGAGTATGATTTCCTATTTGTGTTTGTTTTCCTGGATCTAGATTTAAATCCTATTCCAGATTTGTCAAAAATCAATTTTTGAGACCCAAGTAAAACATCAAGATTGGCTTGCCCTTGTGTGAATCTTGAAACAGTTTGAGATAAAAATTCAATCTTCTTTTGTAATTCTGAACAGTTATTACATGGTTTATTACAAGCACAATCAGAATTAGCATGAATTAATTTCAAGAAATCACAATCATTTTCATCTTCAAGAATTCTTTTTTCCAGAGAATCAACTTTATTTACTAGCCAGTTATTTAGCCCTTTTAACCTATCATTTTCTTTTTGAAGTTTCTTAGCCTCTTCATGCATTTCATTAAATGCTTCTTGCAATGCATCATAATTCACTAAATTTGAAGAGGAACTAGAACTTACATTGTTGGATTGTGGATTTTGACTTGCCATTAGACATAGGTTGACTTCTTCATTATCAGAATTATCTGTTGATGAAGTGTCATTGTCATCCCAAGCTATATAGGCTCTTCTTTTGGCTTTCTCTTCTTTCTTGTCACTTTGTTTGTTTCTTTCTGGGCATTCCATCCTGACATGGCCACTGGTGTTTGGTGATTCTGAGTTGACCATTAAGCATATCTCTGGTGCTTCTTCATAGGTCTTTTCAAGGATCTTCCACATTTGTGCAGCAGTTTGACAATGTGCAATCTCGAAAAAATCATTTTCGTTAAGAGCGGATAAGATGATATTTTTGGCAATACAATCATCTTGGATTCTCGTTAGCAATATCAGTTTCTTGTTCAATAACATTCCAAACATTTATACTAACAGATTCAATGAAGATCTTCATCCTTATTTTCCAAAATAGATAATTTGTTCCACAAAACAGATGGAGGTCTATCAATACAAGCTCCCTCGGAAAATTTGTTTCCAGTCATGGATCGAAGAACTTGAATAACTTTCAAGCACCTCGCTCTGATGCCAATTGTTAGAAAAGTAGTTTTAGATCAAGAGGGGGGTGAATTGATCTTTAAAAGTTTTTCGCAAATAACAGATTATCTAATTCGAAAATTAAGTTTAAAGATCTGTTCTTGAATTACAAAGCAATCAATCAAAATAATGCAGCAACATAATTTAAATGAGAGAAAGGTTAAGGAAGATATCACCGGTATTTTATACTGGTTCACCCAATACCAGGGATACGTCCAGTCTCCAGCCAAATTCCAGCTGGGTTCCACTAGATTAAATGTTTTACAGATTCAACAATCTTACACCTAATCTATCACAAGAACCAAATTCCAGTTCCTACACTCAACCTCTCACCAAGAACCAAATTCCAGTTCTTGATAACCTCTACAACCAAATTCCAGCTGCAGAGAAACCGAGTGCCCAAATTCCAGGCACCAACACCTAACCTTTCACCAAGAACCAAATTCCAGTTCTTGACAACCTCTACAACCAAATTCCAACTGCAGAGAAACCAAGTGCCCAAATTCCAGGCACCAAACAATACAAACGAATGAAAAAGAATTGACAAAGAAGAAACTAGAAAGCTCAAACCAGTTTATCCAAATCTGCAGTGAGTTTCTTCTTCAAAGAAAAGCAATATGCCTCAAGAAAGATTTAAAAAGAACTTCAAAAAAAATAGCCGCAAATCTTTCTTGAAAAGAGTGCTCAAGTTGCTTGATTGATTGCTTAAGGATGTATGAAAACTGATGTTCAATGTATGTTTAAAAAGTTCAAACCAAACTGTTTTTAAAGAGTATTTTCAAAACTGCTGCATTAATTAATCTGTTAAAAGTTTGTTTTAATATGTTGAAATAGCCGTTTCAATCTGTTAAAAGTCCTTTCAATCCATTAATACGTTCTTGATTCTTTAACAGATTTGTTTTAGATCGATACAACAACGTTTATATCAGCTTAAAGCACTTTACAAAAAATCTTCTAAGTTAATTCAATCGATTCTTTCGCGTTTTAATCAATTGAAATACTGCAAACTTTCTTATAAAACTTTTCAAGTTATTTTAACTGATAAACCATAGGTTTTAATCGATTAAAACTCTGTACAAAATTTTTCCAAGTTGTTTTAATCGGTTGAAATGCGTTTTAATCGATTGAAACAGATCTGATCGGTCATAATTCAATTCTGATCGATCATAACCAACTCTGATCGGTCATAATCGCATTCTGATCGATCATTCTGATCCTTTAAGTGATTTTAATCGATTGAAACGTGTTTTAATCGATTGAAAAAATTCTGATCGCTCATAATTCAAATATGATCGATCACATCTGATTCTGATCGGTCATATTTGTATTCTGATCGATCATAATGAGTTCTAAATGATTTTAATCGATTAAAATCAAGTTGTATCAATTAAAATACTGTAAAAACACTTCTTTGAACATTCTAAGTGATTTTAATCAGTTCTTTCAAAACTATATCAGTTAAAAACATGTTTAAGAAAACTTTTGTAAAAATACTTTGTTTTTAGTTGTTTAAAACGATTTTAGAGGCATTTCGCAAAATCTTTAAGTGAAGAACCTTCATGCAGCAGAAAAGATAAAATGATTTTACTTAAGCATTCTGTAGGCACACTAATCCTTCTACTCTTTTATAGTGACTTGTTGACCGCTGCAAAGATGACTTTTGACTTTATCTTTGACTTCATCAAATCAATGAGATCTTTGTCAAATTATTTCAATAAGATCTTCATCACTTTCAAGTTGAAAGATGAAGGTGGATTTCAGAGCACAACATGACTGACTAAATTTGATTGCGTAGTGGTAAGAGGAAAACCCACACCTTGTCTCGGATAGACAGGCACAGAATCAGAATTTTCAACCTTACTTTCCTCACCCTAGAATTGCGTGAATTATAAATTAACGTAAAAAATTGAAAGATAATATCTTTGAAGGCTACAAATAGATGAGAGAGAATATGAGAAAGAGAGTGACTAAGGGCAGTAATAGAAAATCTAAGAAAATGACAGTGGTTGCATGTGAACTCAACATTTCCAAGTGTTTTCTTTTAAACCCTTCTTTTTTCTCTTGGCCATGCAAATAGGACCATTTTTGAAATGGACAAGAAGTCATAGAAGAAAATTAATTATTGTTATTCAATAAATTAATAAAATGGTAATAAGAAATTTGATAAATATCGATTTGATAAATTAATAGTAAAGATTTTAGTATAGTATATGTCAATTTTTAGAAGAAACAAAAATATGCATCTATCATAAAGATACATAAAATCTTTGTAACTAAATTATAATTAAATGCCCAGTGAATTTTAAAATTATTATTATTATTATTATTATTATTATTATTATTTTATTTTTCATTATTATCCAATTTCAGTTTTCCAATAATTTTCCCACAATTATTTTTACATTTTAAATAGCTATAATAAAGTCTTTTGTCAATTTTCTTCCATATAAAAATTGAATCCCTTTATACTTAAATAATTAATTAAATGACTTAAACTATATTTTAACTCTTATAAAAAAATAAGTTTTGATTCTTAAATTTTATTTTATTTTTTTCCTTCCAAACACTTAGAGTATATATAAAGCATTCTCTTTTATAACTGTTTTCAGTATTATCTAAAAAGAAAAAAATAAAAGTATTATAATTTAAAGAAAAATCATTATTATTTTTTTATTATTTATATATTTAAAAAATATTTCAAATTTGAGAGGAAAAATATGATACATAATTAATAAAGAAAAAAATGATATATTTAAAAAGTAAAGAAAGAAAATAAAATAAAATTTAAAAAAATTAATTATTTAAAAAAATGTGAACACATATACATTTTCACTGATGTTAATAACATGGTAAGTATATCTATTAATGAATTTAAGATATATAATAATACTAACTTAAAAACTGGATTTTAAGTTTAATTAAATATACAAATTAACTTTTTGAAAACAATATTTATATTTATTTGTAAAATATATTCTAATATAGATTTTAAATAATTTTGAAAATAAAATGATGTAAAGGGTTTAGAAACTAAATATTCCACGAAATTGTAAAATTTAGCTTTTTAGAGTTATGAAAAATAAGAATATTTTGACTTTAATATTCTTTTTTAGACGTTTATGTCATGAATAGTGAATTTTGGAACATGGATTAAAATACCCTTATCAGTTCATGAAAATCTTGAAAAAAAAAGTAAGAATTTGAAATAGCAAGAAGTTTAACGAATATTTTACTTAAATAATTCAGGAAATTAAGAATATATTATCTCATTTTGTATGTCTATTTACTTTTTAACAAATCTAAAAATTCAAATAACAATAAGTCTACAGTTTATTGATTTGTTTTTTTCAATTTCATTAGGTGTAATAATTTAGTTTGTCTCATCATTTATAATTATTTTTTCAATTTTATTTCATTATTTAATAGTTTTTTTTTTGTCAATTTTGTTTCACTCGGTCATAAATTTATTTATACTTTTGCTGAGGTCAACATGCAACATGGCTATGATTTGGGCTGTAAACCTAAACTTTCCTAGTTTTGTGTCATGTTCCTGGGGCATTCTCTACCACTTCAAAAATAGCTCTGTTACTTCAAAGGCCTTTTTGATCAAACCAAAGCCAATTTAGTATGGTAGGAGGTAAAAATTGATATATTTAGAAGTAATAATTTATTTTAGCTAATATTTATACTGTTTGGCACGATGGAATTCAACTCACAATATAAGAAAGCTAACAGGTAAAGAGAAATCTCATGGCTATTTTAAGGCATAAATTAATAACAGATAATTGAATACAACAAAATATTTACAAATTTTAAACAAAAAATTAATTCTATATCAGACCTCAACGATTTGTTGAGCTTTGTTGAAGTAGATAACTTACAAGCTCAACAAAGGAAAGTGTTCACCAAACAGTAAAGATAAAGAGTGGATTTTTAGGGAAGGACATTAGCATTAGCATTTCCGTGATGTTCTCTTCCTCTTGTTTGCGGTTTTCACAGTGTTTCTCATATTACTAGCAGTTATACGTTTATAATCAGAAGAACGCATTTCATTCATCTTCCCAAACCTCATAGAAGTGCCATATCCCAGACCTGGCCAAAAGAACTGAGTAAGGAAATTTACACCTTAAAAATAACAACAGAGAACAACAAGGAAGTTGTGTTAATTTTACCAGGAACTGATAGGGCTCATACTTCCCATAAATCTCTTGAAGATCTCTCTCAATTGTTTTAGAGGTTGTATTTCTTGAATGAACCTGCATTAAGACATCTCATACACATCAAGGGCATTTATAAAAGACAAAATGAAAAGGAAACCTGAAATAGCAACACTTGCTTTAAGTGTCTAATAGTTTCAGAATCAGTATAGACATAATGAAACAGGAAAAGCAAGCAGACAGCACCTGCTTTAAGTGTCTAACAGTTTCAGAATCCCATGGAATGACATGGTAATATCCCAAGCACATAAGTACATTGGCGCGAGTAAATGGGCCAAACCCCTTAATTTGTTTGAGCTGATCATCAAGCTGCTTATAGCAGGATAAACTTGCATCTTTCGAGAGCTCTTCAAGCTGTTCTAATTGAATTTTGCCTTCAACAATTGCCTGCGCAAGTTCTATTATATAACCTGCTCTGTAACCAAGTCTGCATCGCTTTGCCAGAAAACTCTCGTCAAGGTTTGCCAGCTCAACTGGGGAAGGAAAATTTCCAGTACGGTCAAAGTACTCTCCTTCATCGGGGAACTGATAACATGAATCATCTGATCGAAGCACCTCTGAATCGCCATTATCTGTTGGAAGCAAGGTTGGGTCTGAACTTGAAGCAAGCATGTGGTCCATTTGGGAATTTCCATGCACTTTCACTTCCAACTCTAATTTCTTCTTAAGAAGCATGCTCTTTTTTGAAACCTTGCTTCTCCGGGTCTCTTTAGAAGCTGGTGTCCTGGGAACGAATCCCTCAGTCTCAACTTTTGAATTGCCTGACCCTACAACAGCACAGGGCAATCCATTTTGCAGCTCATATTGAAGCTGACAGAGCGCCTGAGCCATGCTCAATGTCCTTGGCCACCTGAAAGATTTTGTTTTATCAAGTTACCACTGAAAAAGTGTGAAAGAAAAGAACAAAGAGACCCCACCACAACAATAGATAGACAAAACAACATCTTCCAAGCCAATAAAGTGAGAAACAGAACAAATATAGTGTCAATAGCTATTTTCGTCAATGAATATGCAAATAGGTGACAATTTAATCACAGAAACAATAAAAATTCTAACTTAGTCCAATGTATAAAATGTGCAACAATTATGTCATGCCCATATGTTACGTGGGACTATCTTTTCATACTATAGTAATTCTTAAAGATCAATTTGACCACCCTACTATATTGAATTTGACATTACATTCATTACACACTCAGTGCTAAATAAGAATTTTTGTTAAGTCAAAAACTATTGTCACCTATCTATACACCTAACGATAAAAATATTCATTTACCCAACTAAGGCATGGTGATGGTTGGAAAACTAATAATAATTATAATCCTATTTTTTATTGTAATTATCAAAGATAAACATTATCTCATACTCATAAACATATTGTAAACTGAATGCGAAAGCATACCTGAATTAGTCATAATGATAATATCTTTGTAGAGCACTATTGATCTTATGGTCTTCCACCTGAAGAGTACTTGTATTTCCCTCTGGATTTTCTCTCTTGATGCAGATAGAAAGAAAGGAACGGGATTGAGATTTACGTTCTGTGTGTGCTCCTAGAAAGGGACCATGACCCTTTAAATAACCAGAATTAGATTAATTACTTAAGTTTTAGTATTTCCAATTTGACCCCTCATCAAATTAGAAATTGTTATATGATCTCTACACAATTTTATTTCCATGACATATGTCTTTAGTCAAACTTTTTAATTTATTCAAATCACTTTATTATTTGGCTTAATAAATAATGACCCTAACACATTTAAATTACGTATCATATATATGCATGACCCAAAATTTGTCAACAATCTCCCACTGGTTACAAATATATATATGTTCTTACAATCTTACAAATGTGTTAGACTTTATGAGCTCAAAATTGTCATTATATTCCTTTAACATACTCCAAAAGTCTCGCCTATTGATCATATCAAGATATAGAACTAAACCAGTTTTTCATTACATCATCGCAACTAAAATCAACAATGATTATTAATCCTGATATAATCAAATGGCATAGATTCATCATAAAATGTGTAGCTTCAAAAATTACGTGAAGGTGATCTGTACACGTCTATTTTCAACTGGTCCAAATTTTAACTTTTTGATATCGATATAATAACATTAATGTACAAAGTGTAATGAATGAACGAAAAATCGAATATCTATAAATAACCAAATATGTCCAACAAATTAATGTATACATATTTGAAATTAAACGTAAAACATAAAATATATGAAAATGACTAACTCCCACTAAACCACAAATTCCTCAAACTGTAAAACACTCATGTGAGCAACATGCTCATAAAAGACCTTGGGCGGAAGTCCTTTAGTTAGAGGATTTGTTATCATGGAAGTTATCCCTAATTGTTCTATGAAAATTTGTACATTTTATACTTTTTCCTTAACAATATAGTTGATTTGTTGTCACAATATAACTTAAATGGTCTTTCAATGTCTTTCATAATCTGCAGCCCTGTGACAAAATTTCTCAGTCATATTCCATGATTTGATGCCTCATAGCATGCTATAAATTCTGCTGCCATAATAGATGAAGCTGTAAGGGTTTGCTTGACATTGTGCCAAGAAACCGTACCACCTGGCAACATGAAAATGTAACTTGAAGTGGATTTCAAACTATATTGACATCCCGCAAAATCCGAGTCAGAAAACTCAGCGATCTCCAATTGGTCTAACCTCTTATATGTGAGCATATAATCTTTTGTTCTCTTTAAATATTTGATGACCTTTTTTGTTGTTTTCTAATGGTCCATTCCTGGATTACTTAAATATCTGCCTAGAACCCGAACTATGTGATGTAAAAATAAAGTAAGGTGCAGAATTGTAAGAAGATAAGGTGCAGAATTTTAAGCAATAAAGTAAGCAAACCCAAGGAAAATTCCCACTGGACATTAAGATAGTTGCCTATCTAGATGTGAAGGTTCATTTCCAAGGATTATGGAGGGAGAAAGAGATGGAATGAAACTAGAAACGAATAAAGACAAGGGCTGGAAAATTGGACCAGCCCCTTGCATAAATAAATGAAGGGAAGAAATAAAGAAGAAAAGAGGAAGAGAAAAGAATTATGGTGGTGGTGGAGTGTTGGCACGCCACTAGGGGATGAGCCACCCTAGATAAGTGGTGGTTGCCGCCACTTGAACCAAGGTTCAAGATAAGACACTCAAAGAGATGGAATACTCTAAGAAACCTCAAACTTTTCATAAATGTTCAACCTAATTACATGAGGGGAAGCCTCTATTTATAGGCTTTTAGGGGAGGGACCTAGATGGAATTATAAAAGGAGACATAAACTTAACATAAACCTAAAGGCTAGAGTCCCCATGGTCCAAATATGTTAAATTCGTTCTAGCCCACCAAAAATACCTCTAAGGGTGTGGAGAACATGAAAAAAGAGGTGTGTTTCCTTTTGGGTTGTCCCAAGCCAACCAATCCTGCATCCTAAGCTTCTTCCTCTCCAAAAAGGGGTGTAGGACATGAAAAAGGAGTGTCCTACACCTTTGGGCTGCCCATGCATGTATCCTATGGATCCAAGGCTTCTTTTCCACACAAAAAAAAGGTGGTATTCTTCAAAAAGGAGGTGCAAAAAGAAAGCGAAAATAAGTGAAAAACTTAGAAAAAGAAAATACTAAGTAAAGATACTAAGTAAATTCAAAATGGAAGGTAAAGAGGAGGCCTCCCTTCTAGTCATGCTTCTAGTAATCCTCCTAAGAATGACCTCTCCCGCCTCCGGGGCAACTAGGGACTCATCATCCTCTCCTCCCTGGAGAGAATTCGTCCACGAATTTGCAAAACCTGCATCAAAAGGAGTAAGATCACCAACATTAAAAAAGTTACTAATATTATATTCGGCTGGTAGATCTAACTCATATGCATTATTGTTTATTTTCCTAACTATTTGGAAAGGTCCGTCACCTCGGGGGTTAAGTTTGGACTTCCTTTGAGTCGGAAACCGCTCCTTTCTCAAGTGAAGCCATACCCAATCTCCAGGTTGAAAGATGACTTCCTTTCTTCCCTTATTGGCATACTTGCTATACTGACCTACTTTCCTCTCGATGTTGGCTTTAACTCGGGCATGCAGGTCCTTAATGATCTTAGATTTTTCTAGACCATCTTGGCTAGTCCAAGCTTCATGGGTAGGTAGAGGAAGGAGGTCTAAAGGTGTTAAGGGATTAAATCCATAAACGACCTCAAAAGGAGAGTGGGAGGTAGTGGAATGAACCACCCGGTTATATGCAAACTCTACATGGGGAATTATGTTCTCCCACTCTTTGGGGTTCCTAGAAATCATGCATCTTAATAGTTGAGACAAAGTTCTATTCACTACTTCGTTTGACCATCTCGTTTAGGGTGGCAAGTGGTTGAAAAAAGGAGTTTAGTTCCAAGTTTTCCCCATAGTGTCCTCCGAAGTGACTCAAGAACTTAGTATCTCTATCGATACAATTGTCCTAGGTATCCCATGCAATCTAACAACTTCTCTAAAGAAGAGATTTGCAACTAGGCATGCATCGTCCGTCTTGTGCAGGGGATAAAATGGGCCATTTTTGAAAATCGATCCACTACCACGAAGATGGAATCCATTCCTCGCTTTGTCCTTGGAAGCCCAAGTACAAAATCCATGGATATGTCTACCCAAGGTGAAGTAGGAATGGGCAAAGGGGTGTAAAGTCCATGAGGTTGGGCCCTAGACTTGGCTTTCTTACATGCAATGCAGCTTTTCACAAAATTTTTCAACATGTCTCTTCATGTGTGGCCAGTAAAAGTGTTCACTAAGGATTTCTAAAGTCTTAGACACCCCAAAATGTCCCATTAAACCACCCTCATGAGACTCCTTGACAAGTGAAGCCCTTAAGGACCCCTGGGGTACACAAATCCTTTTTCCTTTGAAAAGATAGTCTTTGTGAATGTAAAAATCCTTATGACCCCCCTTTAGGCATTCACTATAAATCTTGGAAAAGTCATCATCTCTAGGATATAGTTCCCGAATATGATCAAAGCTTAAAAATTTTGTTTCTAAAAGGCTTAACAAAGTATGTCTCCTTGATAGAGCATCGCCCACTATGTTACTCCTCCCTTGCTTGTGTTTGATTACATAAGGAAATTGCTCAATGAACTCTACCCACCTAGCATGTCTCTTGCTAAGTTTACTTTGACCTTTCAAAAATTTAAGGGATTCATGATCACTATGGACCACAAACTCCTTTGGAAGAAGATAATGTTGCCAAGTTTGTAAAGCCCTAACAAGAGCATATAACTCTTTGTCATAGGTGGAGTAATTGAGATGACTCCCTTCAGCCTTCTCACTCGAAGTAAGCTATGGGGTGGCCTTCCTGAAGCAAGACCGCCCCAATGCCTATATTTGAAGCATCACACTCAACCTCAAATGACTTGGTGAAGTTTGGAAGGGCTAGGAGTGGTGCATTGATCAATTTTTCTTTAAGTGTTTGAAAAGCATTTTCTTGATCCTTGCCCCATTGAAAACCCACAACCTTTTTCACTATTTCATTCAAGGGGGCTGCAATTGTACTAAAATCTTTAACAAATCTTCTATAGAAACTAGCCAACCCATGAAAACTCCTCACTTCACTCACATTTGTGGGAGTTGGCCAATCTCTAATTGCTGCCACTTTTTCTTCATCCACTTGGACTCCCTTTGAACTCACTACAAACCCTAGGAAGACTACATGATCCATGCCAAAAATGCATTTCTCCCTATTTGCATACAAGGTCTCTTTCCTAAGGGTTTCAAGTACACTTCTTAGATGATACACATGCTCTTCCTCGACAAGCTATAGACTAAGATGTCATCAAAG